AAATTTTCATGTCGAATTTTTGTATCAGTATATGTATGTATCAGTATATGAACGTTGTATTGAATTTTGAAAGACATATTTTTTAGGCCTTATATTTTCAAAAATATAAGAATATCAATATTTTTGGTCTTTTAAAATATAAAAATTTCTTACTGATTGTCAAAATATATTGAATATAAAATTGTAAAAATTGTCAAATTTACAATTACCACACAAATTTTTGGAGATGTACACTATAAGAGGATGCTCTGTCATTTGTAAATCAATTAAAATTATTATTAAATAACAAACATATAAGTCAAGTTGAAATTAACTAATAATAAAATAAGTTTAATTATTTTATTCCTAAAACTTATATAAAATAAAAAAAAATAAAGTAATATGTAAAAATAAAAAAGAAAATATTAAGAAAGTATTCAATTTAAATGTACAAAAGTTCACCATAGCACTTTGTATGAAAACATTTCATCTCAATCTGAAAATTCAGAATAAAAATTAAACGTAATATACAATGAATACAAATAAGTATAAGATATAAGTATAAGATATTATATTTTATATTTATTTATATTCATTGTGCATTGTATTTAATTATACACACACAAATATATCGTTGGGAACATACAAAATATAATTACATATTGGAAAAATAATAAATAAAGATAAAATAAGAGTACTAGTAATAAATATGGTTAGTAATCAAGTATGTAGTTATGCAATAATTCAAATTTTTTTTCAATGGAGGAAGGCTCTAATTTACTAAGAAGTGTGTGCATCTGCCTAACACATATTATTGAGAAAATAAAAATAATACTTTGAAATAAAAATGTTTCTTTTTTTGTCAAAATTATTTTTTGAATTATTCTGTAAATCATACAATGCAATTTGCAAGGTCAACTATTAACATTAAAAGAAAATACGATAAAATTTAATAAAAATAAGTATAGAGTTATGCATAAGAAAGTGAGTACTACATCTTGTATTTTTGTTGTTGGTAAAAACCAGAAATCTTAAGATTAATAAGTAATTTCCTTCTTTGTTAAATGAAAATAATATGAATAGATATATATGTATATAGATATACGTATGTGAAACGCTCTTTCACTTTCACTTTCACTTATCAGATTCGAGAAGCTTTTTACCGATAATTATTTAGCTTAAAACAAAAGGTCAAAAGCTTGTTAAATCCATCATAAATCAAATGCAACGTGATTACAATACATGTAACATTCATAGAGTTAAATTATTTTTTAAATTATATTTTTTCCTTCTACACCCATTTTAGGATATAATACAAAGGTATAATAAATAATTTTAGAAACAAATTGTGTTTTAAATTACATCTTATTAAGGGATATAATACTATATTAGGCACATCTACATTTAACATATTATTAAATAAACCATAGCTATATCAATCTTTTGTTATCATCGCTCCAAGATTGCCAATCGATACATCAACGATAGTATGCAACATATTTTGACGTGTGCGAAGGATGAATTCGATCCGTGATATCAAGTGCACACTTAATGCATGTATGTGCTAGTTAAATTTTAAGCATTTCCTTAATATCAATTACTCTGGTCCGTATTTCTGGTTGGTTATCCTTCGCTAGATCGGGCAAAAGTTCTTTCAAAAGACGCGTTATTTTGTCAAGTTGTTCATCGTTATTCGTTTCGCGCATTTTTTTCGCTAACGAAAGGACTATATTTAATGCTTCTTTTCTAATTTTGGTAAACTTCGAAATATCTACAAAGAGAAAATGTATTTAGATTTTAAAACATATACTTAATTATAATTAAAATTAACATCATAAGAATCTTAATCTTAATTATTTCAATATAGCATCATATAATATAGTGTACTTAATTATAGTATATAATTTATATAATTTATATAATTTATACATAATTTATACATAATTTATAGGACATATACTTACTTATACAATACGATAATATTTTATTAAGACTATCACATATTTGATCTAGTAGTTTTTTATCTTTCAATGGCATTTCTGTTTTATTTATCTTTAATAAGACAAGTTTATCCACGAAGAGATTTAATGCTGTCAAGATAGCCACTTGAACAGATCTTGTGCTATTTGGCAGTACTTTCTGACAGTGAGTCACAAATTCTATGCAATATTTATCTATAATCATAAACAAATTAATTTAGACTTAGAATGTCATAAAAACATATTCATATCTTCCACTAAATAAAAATGTCATAAAAACATATTCATATCTTCCACTAAATAAAAATTCTAAAATTAAACACATAACTTTATTACCTTGAGTCTCTTTCGTGGAAGGCCATGCTTTTCCAAGCACCTCGTAAACGGTTTCTTGTAATTTTATGTTATTTTCTTTTTTCTTCCTACTTTCTTCTGCGGTATCTTCTTCATCATCATTATTTTTATCAGATACCTAAACATAAAATGTATATAGATATTGTAATCAGTCATCCTTTCATAATATCATTGTTAATGCAGTTTACCTTAATCAATATTTCCTGTACAATTTCATAAGTTTCCGTAAATCTATCAATGTCAAGTTCATGCAAGACCATAGTAAATGCTTGTAGTGCATTTCGACGATATTCCGCGTTCTCCTTCTTACTTTCCCTATATAGCGTTACCACAATTGTATCTAATAATGCAGCATCTGCATTTAAAGCTTCTCTGCAATAAGTTCAATCATTTAAATTTAATATTAAATTACATTTAAATCATTTGTACAAATAACATGAAGTTTCAAACAAAGGTCTAACATACTTGCTATTGCATGCTAGTACAGCAAGAGCATTTAATAAACGTTCTTTTCCGTTCCATGTTCTACCTCGCAAACCATTAGTCAATATCTTTAATAAAGTATTCCTAGATTCCGTATCAATATTATGACCTGACTTTAAGGCAACGGTATGAACTGCGTTCGCCGCTTGCATTTTTGTAGTCCATGACGCCGACTCCAAAGCTGTATGTAAAATATCGATTATTACTCGCAGATTTTGCACAATCCCAGCTTCGGTCCCAGGCGTTATTTCGTTCCAAAGATCAGTCCATAATTCAACGGTACTTTCGTTTCCTAACGAATAACAATATATATATATATAACAATATATGTATAATATATGAAAATTAAAACGTGAGGCATACTTTTATATATGTGGCAAATTACAAATATTAAAATACAAACCTGGTACCTTTTCCGCATGCATCGCAAAAAAGGCAAGAGGAATGACTATTTTTTGATAATTTTTAATTTTCTTGATTATAATTATTTATAGATTGCAATGTTTGCCCAATTGCTAATCTTATTGCATCATCTAAAATTTATACATATTTTAGAATATTTAAATATAAACATAAAATAAAACTAAAGAACTCCATAATAAAAATATATAATATTAGCTAGATGTACCTTCGCGTTCCAAATACCACGTGCTCAAAGTATTAAATAATTTATCCAGACTAGAATCTTTAGCTGAACCAACTATATGCCCAATGCTAATCGCATTATTTTTTCTCACAGCAACATTACGATCCAACAAACCATTAAGTAAGGCAGATAATATTTTAGCTAGATAAAAAAATATATAGTTAATCTTTCTATATATAATAAAAATTCCCAAAAATTTCATTACTATCAAATTATAACATTTCATATAATTTCATATAAGCTTCAAATATGTAGCTTTTCTTAATAAAAAAATTTTTTTTTCTTGAAATTGAAATGGTTACTAACCACTGTACGGTTGCAATTCTACTTTTAAATGTGTGCTGAGAAGTATTATAAAATGCGAACAGGCAATTTTGGTTCCAAACCCAACGCTGCTCTTGATTAAGTCTATTACTTTTGGCATTAATTCCTTCAATACATCTGCATCGATGTTTTGGATACACTGTAAAAAAAAGATTGAAAGCAAGGTATTAAGGTGTATCTAACAAATTCAAATTATCTATGGAAATAAAAGTACCTTTGTTATCGTATCTGACGCATAATGACCTTTGGCAACATTTGCTCTAAGATTATCGATTGCTTCCTGAGTCTCTGTAGTCGCGCCACACACATTACTCAGATATGAAAGCTTAGGATTCTCCGATTCACCGATCGTTTCCAATAATGACGGTATTAAATTGACCAGCGACGGTTTTAATAGGACACCGGCCGTGGACACGAGTTGAGACACTGTTTGCAATGATATAGACCTCACCGTATCCACAACATGAGTAATGCCAATGTCGAGTAATACGGGCAATATCGCTTGAATAACTTCTTTCCCCGCGTTACCGTGCGACGAATCGCAATGACGTATACAAACCTATGAAATTAATATAGTATAAATCTCTGAAAACCATAAGTCTTTAGAGATACGTAAATTCATAACTCACTTTACTAAGTATTTTAGTGGTGTTCGTCGCGGCTAACCGCGTGCCTTCGTGAATATCATCCATTACGCGGAATAATTTTTTCCAGAGTTCCGGGCCGCATTCGGCAAAGTTGAATTGAACATTTGTCCTTAAAAGATCTGCGAGAGCATTACAACAACTGATACGTACCCTCCATTCGTTATTCGTTAGATTATCAGTTACATCAATCAATATTTCTTTATGATACTGTTCGATCTATGGTGATATATAAAAACATTTTTACGCTTAACATTAAATATATGTATATATTATAGAGACTGTTAACGAATATCAAACATTACTAACGGCTTTCGTCGTGGAAGGAACGACAGCTCGCCAAATGCTGGTCATACTCTGCTGGATTTTCGGCGTTGGATCGAACTGATATCTATAAAGTCGTGGTATAATATTGGGCAGATATTTATTTAGTTCGTCTCTCGCAATATTGGCGATTGCCGCAAAACCAAATGCCGCTCCCTTCTTGGATGTCCATATCGCATTGTGATTTGCCAAATGCATGAAATAATATACGAGTTCAGGTTTTTGCAATTCTGTCGCGAGAGAACAAATTTCTCGATACGTTGACAAATTGCCACTGAAAATTGCATTATTTACATTTAAATAAATATCTATTTTTTGTTAATGTATATATAAATTATTTAATAATTATCACTTCTTTTAACAGATACTGTAAACTCGCGAAACATCTTACAATTTGAATCTTACCCAGACGGACTTTTTCCCAGTTGACCCTCTTCAAATAATTTAGTATCGGCGGTAACTTGTTGCACTGTTCTGCGACCCTGTGTAAACTGATCCAATATGGTGGATACCAAAGCGTCGCGTTCTTCCTGTTTGCTGTTAATGTGTACCAAACTAAGACCTTTTGAAGCAATATCTTGCACTATATCTGTTAAGAAATAAAAAATTAAATCCATTTTTCCATTTAAACCTAATAAAATTCACCGATTACAATCGATAATTCGTATTCTTACCACTGTCGTCTGAAAGAAAATCTATAAACGCAAGATGAATTGTGGAAAATCTTTCCTTGATACATTCTCGCTGAATGTTATGTTTCAAAAGTGCGAATAGCCATACACATACTGCCTTTAAAGAAACATCATGCTATTAATAAAACAAAAACTTGTCTTATCTATTCTCATTTAAATTATGTCATATAAATACCTGTCGTAAATTTGGGTGAGGCACTTGATATATGTTAAATAATTCATTCAATACATGTACTAATAATTCATCACTCTCCTTACTGTACGGAACAATATGTTCGGTGGATAAAGTCGTCCAAGCATCTCTCGCTTCCGGAGAAGCTTGTGCTTGAACGCAACAAACCAAAGCTTCTCCCAAAATTAAGTGGATTTCAATATCTTTCGTCTGTTGAAATGCCATATTTCATTATTATGTAATAAAAAATTTAATGGAACGTCGGATGAAAGCAAATTTACGCACCTCTTTAACTGTCGCTATGATTTTTTTTGCGATGTCCGCGGTATGCGGAAAACATTCACCGACACATAAATATCCCAATGAAAGGGCAGCTTTTTCTTTCATCTGAGAAAGATAGAGAATCATAAGAATAAATCTTTGCTCTATCAAATAACTAATAAACTAATATCTAACAATATACAATATATAATTAACCATATTTGGAAAACGGACCTTGGTATTTAATTTGACATTAGACAATACGGAAAAAAGCGTTTCTACTATCGCTTTTTTATTCAATTCATTATCACCTTCTGCTGGTAACGGTAGAGAATATGTTCTACCTAAAACGCCAATAGCTTGAATAGCCGCGTCCATCAATAATATTGCATTATCGCGAAGATATATACCTAAAAAATAAATATATTATTTCAAATATCATCATATTTGTAACATAATTTTATATATTTGATACATACATATTGTTTTCACAATATCGTTATAAGTTGTCCAATTGCACAAATCCTCATTATTCCCGTTATTTCGTTGTTGTATTAAATTTCTCTCCATCATGTAAGTCAATGTCATTAATGCACCGTGCTGCGCTTCCAAATTTTTTCTACTCATAATGTTCATAATACTCGACACATGTTTCTCGAATTCATTTCTCGGAAAATAGCCAGTAATCGCGGCGTACACTTTTGCGGCTAGTTGTCGTATGTCTTGTTTAGCAGAAGTGAGCAAGGAACAGAGCCACGGCAATTCTTTTTCATATGATTTTGTTATATAATGCGGAACAGACCCAAGTACTTCCAATAATGCATTCAAAGAAACTTGATCTATATCGTGGCAATAAAATTATAATTAACTTGGCGCAATATATGGTATAATTATAGTTATGTCGCAAGTTCAATATCATAATTGTAATTATAATTATAGTTATATATTGAGCATAACATATTATTTTTTTATACATCTATAATTATTTCTCTCCTACCTGTAGAAGAATGACTCAAGAGTAAAATCATATCGAGGTAATTATTTAATATATCCGGTTGATCTTTATATAGTTTCTCCAAGTAACGTCCGATCAGAGGAGTGTGCTCTGAGGGATGCTGTAATGGTTCATTTCGCGCTGGAATATTAGCACTTCTGGCCAAGCAAACGCGAAAATACGATATAATCTATAACGACATAAATCACGATTAAAAAAATATTTACTATTTACTAGGTTCTAACTTCCATCTAAAACTTACTTCAGAAAATGTGGCGATGCTATATGGAAGTACCTGCTTGTCTGTATTTCTACCACTACTCGCGGTAGGCATTCTTGATTGCATTTTCGAATAAACATAACTTACTAATTTCACAAACTCGGGTAACAATATCTTACTGCTGATCTGTTGATTGTCCTCGTTTTTATGCACTACACCGTAAAGCGCTTTTGTAGCTTCTGTACTTATCTCATGTTTATTATCACCGCAGGCTAATAACAAGAGATACCGAGAGGGTGCGTCATCAGGTGGAAATACAGTTGCGGCATAATGCATTGCTACAAATCTATTCACAAAATAATACATGTTATATTGAAATATATATTAAAATTATAATGTAATAATAAATATAAATTGTTATAGTTTATATACATGCCTTACGCTTGATTCCGGCGATTCAATATGTACCGACAATAAAGCATTCATTAGAGCTATATTACTTTCATCTTCTTTATTCAGCACAAACGCAGATGTTACGCAAATCAATGCGTCCCTCACTGTACGTCGTAACTCACCGTCCGTCTTAAATATTAGCAAAACATTCAAAAATACATATTTAGAAATTATACACGATTTCAATAATTATTATTGCGTGTGTTTCATATAAAATACTTACAGAGACAAGTGTATCGAATAAGTTATGTAATAAACTTAGATCTTTATTTATCAGAGATGGTATTCTTTGGCCGAGTTGTCCAATAACTGTATACGCCATCGGTTTATGTACGTCATCGCCTTCAGAGATCAATTTTATCATGCCATTCAAGATTACTCCAGCGACGCGAGTCAATGGCACAAGACTGCAACTTAAACAAAATTTTTTTAATCAAATACAATCTCATTTTTTAAACGAATAAAATATATATTTTAAATAATGAGATGTATGAGATACACTATAAATACATTGTATATATAAAGAGTTAATCCATCTATATTGTATATATAAGAGTTAATCAATAGACTAAAAATTCATGAATAAAATTAATGTCAAAATATGCACTACATACAAACTATGATTTGTGCTATTCATGTTTCAAAATTTACAATTTATTATTCATATAAGATTTGTGAATAACATAAATATATTCACTAAATTTACTTTCAAAATTGCTATTGTTATTTACTATAATCCGTCAATGTAATTTTAACAAAACCAAAATGTACAAATCATGAATTCTATATCGTCTAGTGCTAGTTTTATATATTGTGCACAAAAATAGATATAATCAATTTATTCGTATTTTAAATAACTCTCAAAAAGATAAACTAAAAATATATCAGAAAATATATTACATCAATTAATATTAAATGCAATGAAATAAAGAATAATATTAACAAATGAATTATAAAATACTTACTGCTGTACGATATTTGATGTAAATTGTAGTGCCAATGATTTCAACTTTGCATTCGTATTTTTTCCATAGAGTGAATCGAAAATAACCTAGAAAGAAATGATAATTCTATTATGTAACACTATGTAAGAAATTGATGTTTCTTATAATCGAATTTTTCTTATAATCGAATATACTTGTATGCATGGCGGTATGATGAAACCTGCTTTAGTAACACGACAAAGATACTGTAAAAGCTTGAGACGAATTCGTGTGCTTGCAGGTAGCCGTTTCATTTCAGGTTTTACCTCCTTTTGCGTGGCTAACGCATCAGTACCTAAGAATAATGTGTAAATCGGAGCTGCTAATTGCATTGAAGACCAGTCCAGTGTGCTAAATAGGAAAATATAATGAAAATCACAGCTCCGATTTATACGATTAAACAAATTCCGATGCTTTCCCATACACACCCAACTATTTTTTTTAGTTCCAAATCCGCCATATTAGCGATGCTAAATCTAGTGTCTGCAGCTGCTACAATCAAATGTATGAGAATATCCGTATCCAAGAAAAATCCACCAGCGAGGAACTTGACGATGCCCAGTTTTATCTGTTCAAGTTGCTCTGCTGTAGGCGGATTCTCGCCAATAACTCTTTTAAATGCGTAATCGCTTAGACCTGGTGGCACAGCAAATTGAGACCAATCGATAGTCTGACCGGATTGTTGATTTTCCGTTTGTCCCACAGATCTAACAATATACCATGGTTAAAAATCAAATAAGTACTTAAAAATAATACAGTTGCATATCTCACCCATATGGTAATAATAATACATCGAGCATGAAATTTGTAAGTTGCTTTGCTACATAAGGTTTATCTTGTAAACCAAGAAGGGACGCTCGTTTATCAGGATCCGCTGGTATATTGATATGTCCTAATGCTGGCATTATAATCAACATCAAGCTGAAACGTGATTGTATTCACAAGATCAACATTGTATAAATAAAATTTATCAAATTGTAACATATTTGTTAAAATGTAAATATAATGAATATATAAGAATTATATATAAAAAATTTGTAAGAAACAAACCTATCTTGATGAGACAATGGTTTTCCTTCAATGGCATTCAGTACACTTGGAACTAATTCTGCTTGTTTGTTCATCTCCATTCTAGGATATCCCAGTTTTATATATATTATTGTAAAGTTCTGCAATCATACAGATATACATTGACATATCTTTTTTTTTAATTTTATTATGACCAATTACTATATTCGCAACAACATACAATTACAAATGAACTAGCAGCTGGATCTTGATATTGCAGGAGTAAAGCTTCAACAGGCAGTTGTACTTGAGGCCTGCTCTTTATTCTTTTGTTTATATGAATTAACAATTCCATCACCTTCTTTCTGACACCTTCCTGTCCACTAGACAACTTGAGCAACACAGGAGGTAAAAATTTGCAGACTGATGCCTGTAACTGCTCATCCGTCTCTGCAGAGCCCAAGCGGAGGAACACCCGCTCGAGTAAAACTGAATAAAATCCAAAAAGCATAATGCACAGTTAACATCGCATGTTCATTTTTTTCAATCATCAATCATAAGATCTTTAATCATATGGATATCAATAATGAAATTTATCAACAGGGAGAGGCAGATACACAGAGGGAAATGCACAGATGTCTGTCAATGTTTTCTCCAGCGACATCAAATCATTGAATGTAAGATAATCGCGAAAAACTGCTGACATCACGTGTCCATCACATCGAGTCGGAGCAGGAGTCAACGGGATTTAAATCACGATACAGAGACTTGACAGATGCGAGGGACACGTGCCCGAAGAAGACGCGAGAGGCGTGCCATCCATGGGGAAATCTGTCGGAGGTCGCCTCTCCGACGGCATGACAATCAAATTTTCACCGCTGAATGCCCAACCCCGTGCCCAACCCCATTCTCATCCTCGTCAATAGACGTGATCTATGACCCATTCGTCGATGATCGCGCGACGTAAAAGGGAATCA